AGCAACTAGGCACAAAATAGTCATATCAATAAAATCTAAATGCATTATGTATATATCCCTATTTTATGACCAACAAGCATAATCGAAAATAGATGCAATGTCAATCAATTTTGCAATCATTTAAAATAAAACATTGTATCTTTTATCAAATTTATTTTTCAAAAGATTATGCTTTTAACCCATTCACATATAAAACATTATGCAATGTTTATTATAGAGATTAAAAGTACATGCATACAGTTTTTGAAAATGTTATGCATTAAAACTTTATAATATTTAAACAAAAATCTATGCATAAATATTAAGAAAAATTTCAGGTCAAAATTTTGCAAAACCAAAGTTCTTGAAAAATCGATATCAATTGTTAAAGAGATATCAATTACATTTTAAAAACAATTTTGACCAAAAAATAATATGATGAACTAGAGTTTATAAAACATTACAAAAAATTACCATGTTCATCATACAATATTTTTTTTAACATACATGAGATAAAACATAATTCAATATTTTAAAACCTCATGCATGCATAAACTAAATAAGCAACCAAACAATAAAAACATTAAGTTTAGAGGTTACCCATTCCCTTTTTATGTGTGGCTAGAGCATCTTGAATATCATCATATTTATCACCATTGCTCTCACACACCTACAAGATACATTTAAGTAGATTTTGGTATCCAAATTGCTTTGGATCCTTGAACATTAGTTTCAATGCCTCTTGTTCCTTTTGGAACCCATACTTGTCTAATTTTAAATCGTTTTCCTTTCTTTAAAGGACAAGTATGTTCCTTATGACCATGATAATGACAATGTGAACATATTGTCATTATTGAACTAGATGAATTATTTAGAATGATCTCTTTTTCTCTTGTTAAACATTCAAGCTTATCTTTCAAATTGAAATTTTCTTTTTTAATACTTTCAAATTTCATTTTTGAGAGTTCTAAATCCTTCTTTAATATTTCATTTTGATTTTCAAAATCAATTTTCATTTCTAGAAGAAGTTTGTTTAATTTGAAAATTTCTTTTTCAAAGTTTTCAGATTTTATTTTTGAAAGCTCTAACTCCTTTCTCAACATTTCATTTTGATTTTCCAAGTCTGTTTTAGCTTTCAAAAGAAGATCATTTTTAGCAATAAATTTAGAAATTAATTTATTATATTTGGAGTTCATGGTCTCAAACTCCGAAAATAATTTATTATAAGCATCTTGTAACTCATTAAAAGATTTTGAATTTGATATATTTGAGTTAGAAGATACCTTTGGCTCTGTGAGAGCTAATAGAAACATTACTTTTATTGGTTCTTCTTCTTCCTTGTCTCTATAGATCTCAAGCTTATCCCACATTTCCTTGGCACTTGAACAAGAAGAAACTCCTTTATATACATTAGGATCAATTGCACAACACATGTGCATAGCCTTTAAGTTTTGTTGAGCTTCATTCCGTTCTTGAACACTCCACTTCTTTGCCTTCTTAGTAGGAGAGTAATATCATTTCTTGATTATCATCCAAGCTTCCATATCAAATGCTTTGATGAATATCATCATACACCTCTTCCAATGACAATAATTTGTTCTATTGAAGTGTGGAGGCACATCAATAGGTCTGGATTCTTCCATGGAGAATGAACAGGAAGTAGACGCCATCTTTATCGATTTAACTCTTCCCGGATTGACTCAAGAGGCGATTAAACCTTCAAATGAGTGAGGCTCTGATGCTAATTGTTGAGTTAATTGATTGACGAAATCGGCCAAGAGGGGGTGAATTGGCAATTAAAAGTTTGGTGGAAGCTTTTGCAGAAAATTGAAAGTAATTGCACAACGATTTAGAGTGGTTCGACTTTCTCAACCAAAGTCTACGTCCACTACCTTAGCTATCCACACTAAGGATTTTCCAACAAATTCACTAATTTGTTCTTTCTTTTGAGGACAAAGAGTAACCTTACAACTCCCTCAAGAATTATACCCCAAATTCTTGAGCACACTCTTTTTCAAAGAGAAATACACAAATTTGCAAACTTACAAGGAAAACCTCACAAGGTAAGATGTTTTCACAATTCTAGAACAAGAAAAGAACACTAAAAAATAATCACAAATGAGCACAAATGGTGTTCTTGAAAGCAAAATGAATATTGAAAGGAAAATTGGTTTGATTTGCACAAACTTGGTGTTTGATGCTTTCTCTCTTGTTTCTCTATGATTTCTTGTTGATCAAAGGCTTCAAAACTTGTTTAAATACTCCCTCAATTGATTCTGAACGTTGGGGATGATTAGTGGAGTCAATGGAGTAGTATAAGTGTGAAAACTATTAATACAACAGCTTGGAGCGTGGGGGGAATCAGTACCCCTCATGGGGAATCGGTTCCCCTCATGGGGAATCGGTTCCCTAAGTGTAAAATTCAAATATTTCGACCGTTAAACAGGGGGAATCAGTTCCCTCCGAGCATACTGGAATTCTCGGAGCCAAACCATTCAGGGGGGAATCGGTACCCCCTTGGGGGGAATCGATACCCTCTGAGCAATCTGGAATTTTTGGCTTTGAAATGGTTCGAAATATTTTGTAAAATTGTTTTGATATTATTTTAAGACTAAAACTTAATTTTACACTTGAGTAAGGATTAAAAAATGACTTTTAAAAGATTTGGAGTAATATTTTGATATTCGAATAATTATATCGAATATAATTAGAAAACCTTATTGGAAAATCTTAAAATTCATTTATCTTAATTTGTTATATCAAAATATCAAAATGTTTTCAACATTTATAATCGATGAGGTACCAATTTTTGGACGTTTTAGGGGTGTTTATCCTTTCCCACACGCAATCGACCCCCGAACCCTTTTTTAAAATAAAAAAAATGAATTCTTGATTACACATAGACTGATCTTATCTTTTAAAATGACGTTTTTAAACCTCTTTTAAAAGGAGAATTTTTAGGTATTCAACCTACCTAACCCGAAAGATCGATGGCGACTCTAAAACATTTCTTTTACAAAAAATCAATTTTTTCACAAAATAAGTTGAGACTCTTTCTGAGCTTAAGGACCGTTCCGACAGGTCACTTTTGCCCCTGTAGTAGACTAAATTTATCATTTTCGTCTCTATTATATTTTCGCATCAATTTAGCCTTTAAAGTTGTTTAATTGCACCATTCTATATCCTACTCCTAATATAAAATCCTAAATTGATAACCCTAAATCATAACCCCATAACCTCTAAAAGATTGATAAGAAAATGATAAATTGATGCGAAAATACGATAGAGGCGAAAAATGATAAATTGAGTATATTACAGGGAAAAAATGACCGCCAAATAAATTTTATAAAATTCGTTCTAAAAAATTAATTAATAAATCAATGATGATTAAATAAAAGATTATAAACTTACCATGATGAAGATAATGCTCCTCTCATAATTAAAAATCGAATATGATTTAATCAAATCATTATACTGTTGTTAGTCAAAAGAAAATCTCTTTACCGTAACCACATTTTCATTTATATTGCATAATAATAATCGACGATTAGCAATGTTTGTTTTTTTTCTTTTGTCAGTTCAAATGTTTAAAAACTTTGCCTAATGGAGACAAGTAGATCTTTTCTTGAACAATACATGTGAATTTTTATTTTATTTTTGTTTTCAATTAATTTTATTTTTATTATCGATTTTAAAAATATTATATTTTGATTATATATTTTATCAATTCATTATATTTTAATCATTAAATTGCTAACTCTTGTTAGTTTGATGATATATCATGCTATTAAAATGACTAAATTTGAATTTGATCCATGAATTTTAGATAGTGTGTTAATTTAATCCTAAATTTTAGATATTAATTTAACCCACAAACTTTAGATAAAATAACAATGTAACCCTTAAATCCAATCAAAGTTCATGTCGTCGGCTTCCGTTCATCATCGTTGTCGGTCATTATTGATTTTCGACACCGGCTATTGTACACACTAATAATCATTAGATTCTATAATTCGATCCTATATTGGCATCCTAAACGCAAATTTAATATATGTTTCACCAAAAAATATCTTAAACTTTATAAACTTAATCTAAAATCTTTCAAATTCCTTTAAAAATAAATCGTAATAATATTATTGTAATTTGTGCAAGTACACACGTCAACTAATGTAATGAAATGACCCAAAATGTAAGATGTCGAACCCATAGAAATAAAAATATATGATTTGATTAGCTATTGCATTAGTGCAAGAATTATTGTAGTGTAAAGTATTAAATATCTAAAAACGAACTCTCTTTTGAAAGCTAGCTCTAGGAATACTTTCTCTTGAAGTCTCTATATGTCTATCGGCTTTTGGTTTAGTGTGGTTGATAAAACCCAAGTGCAAGGTTTAGTCTCTATGCCTAGAGTAAACGCACAGAATCTATTGAGTTCCTACTTCCATTATCCAACTACGAATGACCTCCCTTAATCCTGTCGGAATTAAGAACCTTAGTACGATCCCGTTAGGCTGTATTTCTCTTAAAATTTATTTATTTTTCTCTCTAAAGGTGACACGTGACAACTTTTAATTTGATTGAAAAATTATTAAATTAATTATATTAAAAATAAAAAATTCTAATTAGGTGGTGACACATGTAAGTATCTAATTGGAGAATTAAATTTATTGAACTTAATTAAATTTAAGATTAAATAGATTAAATGCGTAAATAATAAAAATCAAATGTGTAAATATATTTTTTTAACTATCACATTAATTCTTCCATTAAATATTAACGACACGATACGTGATTTGATTGAAACACTTAAATAACTAAGTAATTCAATTGATAAAACTAAAAAATCGATGGTAAAAAAAAAGACAATAATTAAATATTCATATATATATATATATATATATAATTTATTAAAAAAAATTAAACTCCTAGACCTAAAGTTAACCTGATTAGAGTTTAGGTCAAATACTTCTCCTTTGATTAAAAAGAATATTTAAAAACTTCACTACTCACATTAAAAAGGAAAAAAAAATCCTGCATTACTCGATAATCGGCTCTTCAGCCTAGGAATCATCGGATAAAGCAAGCGATGGCCGGAGATTTTGCGGCGAAAGCCAAAACCTATGCGGTGCCTGTGGTTCTCTTCTCTCTCTCCATGTTATATCAGCTCGTTCTTCTCCCTCGTGCCTTCCCCCCTTCTCATTACGATGGTGAGTCCCAACTCTTTGTATACATATATTCGTATTTCTATCCATATATTTTACTTAGGAAAATACTTTCTGAAATTTTTTAATTTAAGAAGTATAGTGATCTTTTCTTCTTTAACTCGTGGTAGCTTTGGGAATAAAGACCTATAGTTCAATTGAAGAAGTCAAAGAGGCGTACCAGTATCTTGAATCCAAATGGTAATTCTTCCTTTCTTTATGCTTAATTCCCCCCCCCTCCCAAATTTTCACATTAAAGGAGTAGATTAAGAAGATAGCCTTTTGATTGTCTAAAATTTTAGTATAAAAATTCATATAAAATATAATGCCATCACAGAATATACGAACATTACATAGATGTACGAATTGCTGGACTTTGTTCGTTTTTTTTAAGTTAGCATTTCTTGTTTCAGGAATTCAGGACTGGAGGTTCCTACAACCATGGAGTTTATCAAGGTTGGTTAGTTAATCTTCATCCTTTTTAACTTTTAGCTTCTGGAAAAAGGAAAAAGAGTTGTTTTTTTTGTAGTAAATTTATTGCTCCTAGCATTTTGACTTATAATGGTTAAGCTACTTTCTTTGCTGCTTCACTAGCTTTTGCTTTTGGAAGTAAAAAACCAATTACTATGATTTTACTTTCATCCATTTGCTTCTAAGTAGCTTTTTCTAAGGCGTAGAAAACAAGCAGATAAAGCAACAATTGTATATAGTGTGATGTTGCTCTATTGAAATTAGATGAAGTCACATTTAGCCTTAGCTAATGAACATGGTAGGCTGTTTTGAAGATGCTCAGCTCAAATCATATTAATCCCATCAGTATGGTGTTTATCTCATTTCAGATTCGGTATGCTTATGAGCTTTTGACAAATCCCACATGGAAAAGGAATTATGACGTGTTTAGAATTAATGAGCAAGATGTAAGTATTTTACTGCAAACTACTTTCTGTCTATAGTTTTATCTCCTTGTCACAACTCTGTGTGTGTGTGAGAGAGAGCTCTATTTTGGGTTTTGGGCTGTTTAATTGAAGGGTTTTACTCCTGTGGCCTGCAGCATGTTCTGGAGAAACTCAGGCAGCAATATGCTGGGGAAAAGTTCTATAATGTAGAGCTGCCATTACTGAATGCTGACGCTTCTGGTATTGAAGTTTCAAATTTTTACCATTTTTTCCATGTATGTGAAGCTTTAAAAAGTTAACACGAGGTCAATGAATGTGTACTTCCTGCAGATACCGGAGATTATGCTTTTAATGTTATTACTTCCGAGGCGTTTCAGTCTATGTTTCAAGACTCCAAACCATGGTTACTTCAGGTACATACAACCATCAACTGACATGTTTGCATGGAATTTCTACTTTAACCAGATTTTCCTATTCCATGTCTACAATTTCTTTTCCTTTTCATAATAAAACTTTCCAAAAATGTTTTACATAATAAAAATATCACTGTTGAGGTTGTCAAATATTCAATACTCTGGTAGACCTTACTGCTCAAATCCAAAAAGCTAGTTTAAACAATCTCCTTGTTCATGGAGGTAGCTAAGAGTTCAAATTCAGCAGCTCAAACATTAAAGAGAAAGAGAGAGAGAGAGAGATGCTAAGCTGGGACTTACCAATGTTGGATTGTTCACTTGGCAATTCAACAACTTAATGTTTTGGTTTTTTATTTGTTTTGTTTATTGGTGATCTCAACCTAACTCCTTGAAACTCTCTAACTTATATTCTTTTAGTACCATGTTTAATTTGGGTTGACTCAAGCTCTCAGCTAACTCTTATTCCTAGATAAAGTGTTGATCATGTTAACTATGTGCTCCTAAAATTTAAACACTTTTCTGTATCAATAATACATTCTCTGCTTTGTAAACAAAACGTTAATACATTGACGTGTCATCATTAGAGATTTGGTTTGCACCTAGATATGTGAAATTCACTAGCTGGTTTGATACTACCAGAGCAGTACTACCTCATTCATACAAGTTATGTACGTTATCTTTCCATACGTACACTTGCTCAAATAGTTATCAGCCCTTCGGAAAGGCAAAGAACCTTCTTCATCCAATATTTCCATTATTTTGAGCTTTAGTGCAGAAAAATCCTTTCTTTCTCCATAGTCTACTATGGTATGTGTCACATTCAGGGAATGATATGTCCTTGACATATTACCAGCCATAAACCATAGAATTGGTTATTCGGCCTTCACGCATGTGAATATGCGTTCTATTTGCTTTTGGATTATGGACTAGATTTATTATTACCTGTAAGTGCCTATGCAATTTTTTCATGGATTTTTTCAAGTGTTTTTCTTTTAATGATATTTGCATTTAGGTATATTCATCTGGCAGCAATCGCTCCGCTCAATTTGCTAATTCTTGGAAAAAAATCGGTATGTTCTTTTGCTGAAAGCCTGGGGTCATGTGAAGAATATTTATTTGCTCATTACAATGTGGATTTACTGTTGTTAGTTAACTATGCACTTTGGTAAAGATATAGATTGTAGCATGATTACATATATTGATTTTCAACTCAGATACTAAGATAATATGATTCTTCTAATTTCATCTTCTTTCATCTCCCTGTTTCTCTAAATAGGTGTAAAAAAAGATATTTCAATGAAAATAAGAATTAGAATTCAGTAGTATAATTTGTGTAGGTTGTTGCTTTCTCAGGTAGCAGAATTGTTTAGAGATTGTTGTTCAAAGCATGGTTATTTCTTTAATATTTTAATGAATTAATGCCTTCTCTTCATATTCAGGTGCTTTATTGAATGGGGTTGCGAACATTGGTATGGTTGAGCTTGGTGAGATTCAAATTGCAGCCTACCTTGCTGAGAGAAAACCAATGGGCCAGTTTTTCTTCAGGAATGGTTAGTGGTGTTTTATTTACAAATATGACCAGCTGATATATAACTCCCCTCCTGACACTGTTTTTTCTATGAACTCTTTCTTTTTGGCCACATGCTATTTTCTCTTTAAAATGATTTCTAGAATATAAAGAGAATTCCCGGAAAGACTTTGTGCAATTTTCTTCTGTGAAGACTATGAACTTATTTATATTTAAGTTTTTTTTTTGATAAAAGTTGGAGGTCTCATTAAAAACTCCCTTCGTATTCGTCCACATACTAAGAAGTATGTTAACGAACATTGGAAGGAAGAAAAGAGTACCTCATAGTTTATTGAATATAACACCCAATACATATGAAAACACGGAATACCATCATATGGGATATACACAATTGCAAAAAAAGAATCACCTAAAACTCTCACATCCTCAACCACAAAACCCCAGAGACAACCACCATATTTCTAAGTTACACTTCCAGTAACAGGGAAAAAAACAACGCAAAAGGACATAACAGAAAAGAAAACCAACACCTACAACTATTAAAACTAAATCAAACGCTTCTGAATAGAACACTAATTGGACCATCAATTAATCTGTCCTTGCAACTTTATTGAAAACTCATCTCTTTTGCTTGCATTTCTTAACCACACGATTTCTTCTAAGTTTCCCAGGGGGAGGGGGCACTTTTGAAGTACCTTCCTATAGTTGTATTGCGTCCCCGGATATACCATTAGAAGGGAAAAGACTTATAATAAGAACATCTTCCGAGGCATGGGGGTTGACTCCATCAAAGTGGTCAATTGATTTATCAATTGGGTGCTTCACAAAATTTATGTTTGAATGATCCAAAGCCTCCGTTGAATGAAACCCTAAATCTAGTTTTTATTCGAATTCTCAACATCTTTGGCACACTTCAGTAATGAAACTTTTTCAAGGTTGGTTGCTTCAATGTCAACATCTTCTTCGGACCATCAATTAATCTGTCCTTGCAACTTTATTGAAAACTCATCTCTTTTGCTTGCATTTCTTAACCACACGATTTCTTCTAAGTTTCCCAGGGGGAGGGGGCACTTTTGAAGTACCTTCCTATAGTTGTATTGCGTCCCCAGATATACCATTAGAAGGGAAAAGACTTATAATAAGAACATCTTCCGAGGCATGGGGGTTGACTCCATCAAAGTGGTCAACTGATTTATCAATTGGGTGCTTCACAAAATTTATGTTTGAATGATCCAAAGCCTCCGTTGAATGAAACCCTAAATCTAGTTTTTATTCGAATTCTCAACATCTTTGGCACACTTCAGTAATGAAACTTTTTCAAGGTTGGTTGCTTCAATGTCAACATCTTCTTCGGAGCATTTTAAACCTGAGGAGTACACCGACAACCTTGATTGAGAATTGTCCGGTGAAGCCCCAATTGAAGAAACAAGATCTAATGAGTTACCGACTTCGTCAGGGACTCAAGACTTTGGTTTGAAGGAAGGCTCAATTTCATGCACCATGATTTTGAAGAAATTAGCACCGATCTTCAACTCCAACGACTCATCAATTCTCACATGAGCCTTTGTGAGGATTTGAATTTTTGTTCGATCAAAAGATGATGGAAACTGGCAGCTTTCGTCGATTGCTAATAATTTACCCCACTTATCTGCAATGCTTTTGAAAGTATCCCAATTCCAAGCGTGAAAAGGAACCCCTCGCAAGCTAACCACACTCGACGGCACTCCAACACACGACTCTCTGACCAAGCTTCAACTCTGGAAAACCACTTTGCAAGAGTCTCTACTTTATCGTTTTTCACACTTCTCAACGAAGCAAAATCTTCAAAAGTCATTAGAACTACATTTTCAACATCTCTCATTAACGAGAAACCAGCGAGGCCTTTGGCTTGTATTTGACTAGCAAGATTACCGATTTTGATAGAGTTCTTGCACCATCCCACTAGACATTTACTTAACACGTGAAGTTTATCTTCGTCCACCACACCTTCAACTTCACAGTGATTATTCCTCGAAATAAACTTCCATCTCAGACTTACAGTGAACAGCTGTCGAGTACTTTCTCAAATAAGACTGTCGAGGTTTGAATTTAGCCAAAGAAACACAAATTTTGCTGCCGTCAATATAAGAACCATTCAGTTTTGAGATCGCTTTCCTTGCTTCTTCGATTGTTGCAAAACGAATGAACCCAAAACGAACCCAAAATAAATCCCTTTTGAATTTCTTTTGTTTGGAATGAAAGCATCAATTACCCGACCGTGGGTGCAAAATAAAGATCCAAACCTCTTCCAATGGATCTTCTCTGGTATGTTTTCAATAAATAACGTGTAGCATCCAATTTTGTACCCATTACTGGTTTTTGGATGGCCTTCCTTCCACCAATTATTAAACTCGATTCTCCCATTTTTTGCTACTTTTTTTTATAAAAAGTGTAGGCCTTATTAAAAACCCCATTCATGATTAATGAATCACAATGTGCTCCTTAATTAGCGGAAGGAGGAAAAAAGTGCCTTAGAATTCATTAATAACCGAAAGTTAAATAATGTTTAAAAAAGCAAACATACACACTCCCTTTACAATGACCAACCCCTAGTTTAAAAAATATCCTTAACAAAACAGTGAAACTAACCAATACCAGCCTTAGCTAAGCAATCAACCTCAATATTGGCTGACCTAGCAACCCATCTAATAACACCCTGCAAATCCCTTGAGTAAGCAACAATGTCTTTCACTAAATCTATATAGAAATAGGAACAACAATCGTAATTCTTAACTCAATCCATTGTTTACTGTCACTTTCAACAATCAAACATTCCTTGAACCGCTGTTGGAACGAATCAAAGAAGATTAAACCCTTCTTAATTGCCTTAAGCTCTATCAAAATAGGAGGACCTGGACCAGCAGTCTCTTGGAAAGAACCCATCACCGAGCCATCCTCAACTCTTAGTAAGCCACCAACACCACTTTTCCTCCAATCTCCACTCACAGCTGCATCCACATTTAGTTTTATAAAACCCTTTGGAAAAACCCCCTTCATGATTAATGAATCACAATGTGCTCCTTAATCAGCGGAAGGAGGAAAAGAGTGCCTTAGAATTCATTAATAACCGAAAGTTACATAATGTTTAAAAAAGCAAACATACACACTCCCTTTACAATGACCAACCCCTAGTATAAAAAATATCCTTAACAAAACAGTGAAACTAACCAATACCAGCCTTAGCTAAGCAATCAACCTCAATATTGGCTGACCTAGCAACCCATCTAATAACACCCTGCAAATCCCTTGAGTAAGCAACAATGTCTTTCACTAAATCTATATAGACATAGGGACAACAATCGTAATTCTTAACCCAATCCATTGTTTACTGTCACTTTCAACAATCAAACATTCCTTGAACCGCTGTTGGAACGAATCAAAGAAGATTAAACCCTTCTTAATTGCCTTAAGCTCTATCAAAATAGGAGGACCTGGACCAGCAGCCTCTTGGAAAGAACCCATCACCGAGCCATCCTCAACTCTTAGTAAGCCACCAACACCACTTTTCCTCCAATCTCCACTCACAGCTGCATACATTTAGTTTTATAAAACCTTTTGGAGGAGGAGACAAAGACACAATTTTGATAATTGAATTCCTGAAAGGAGAGCAATAATCCCCTAAGAGAGGGATCAGTAATGAGAAAATCCTTCGAAATAGACACATCCTTGAACTTGGCTAAGAACCAAGTTGCGAGTCTAAATCTTGCCATAAAGAATAGATCAATCTGATCTAATCTTCCCCCTTCAAACACAATGGCATTCCTAAATTTCCAAATGATCCAAAGAACCACTCCCGGAATGAGAGACCAAATAGACGAGTAAGGAACCATATCCTCCCAAGCTAAAATAAAATTTTGAGCATTGCTATGTAGAACCGAACTAAGTTTCCAAAATCTCAGAAATTTATTCCATAGGGACCACGCCACGAAGCAAGTGAAAAATAGATGTGATGAAGATTCAATCTCCATTTTACAAAAAGGACATGCAAAGTCTACAATAGCCGACACCCCTCTCCTTTGTAATTCTTGTTTTACTGGCAATCTCTGATACACCACCTGCCACATAAAGATTTCCACTCTAGCAGGTACCAAGCCCTTCCAAATGTTTTTCATCCAAAAGGACTCGGCTGTCGAAGCAGGGCAGCATAACTTCACACACGATTTAACAGAATAAATACCTTCCCCATTCCCTCTCCATATCAAACCATTTGTCAGCTCATAGGAGAGACTAATATTATGAATTATAGCCATTAGATCAAAAAATTGATCTAGTTCCCAATCACTCAAATTCCTTCTCATATTGATACGCCAAGACCAACCTGATGACCGAAACTCACCAAAATCCTTTAACTTCCCATTCTTGTTTAATGAAAGAACAAACAATCTCGGGAAGACAACTTTAAGAGTAGAATCTAACGCCCAACTATCAACCCAAAATCTGATACTCTCTCCATTACCCACTCGGACTTTAAACATGCTTCGAAACTTAGCACCGAACTGATCTTCTTTAAAATGACTTTTGACTACTGATTTCCATATCCAAGAAGCATGCGCAGGAAGTTTGCTCTTGAATAGCAACAGTCTAGGGTCCAGATTATATTTGTTGCAAATCACCTTCTTCCACACAGTCTCCCTATCATTAGCAAACCTCCAAGATCATTTCCCTAGTAGAGCTATATTCATGTAACTGAGGTCCAAAACTCCAAGACCACCAGCAGTTTTATCAGTACATAGTCGACCAATTCACCCAGTGAATTTTTTTAACCTCTACCCCTCTTCGCCACAAAAATCTGGCCATGATGGAATTGAGTTTAACAATCACCGAAGTAGGAATCTTGAACAGCGACATGAATTAGGTAGGTAACAAGCACAAAACTGCCTTCAATAAGACCAATCTCCCTTCCATTGAAAGTGTTTTAGCCTTCCAGCCGGCTAATTTTTTATAAAATTTTTGCACAACCGGATCCCACAAAGCTGAAGAATT